TGGATAGCTCAGGAGTTCAAGTCTGTGGCTGCGAAGCTGGAGGTTGGGAATTCGAATCCTGCGTCCTGGGAGAAGAGCCAGCCTGGGTGGCCTTGGGCGAATGCTGCACCGTCCCAGGCCGCCCCCAGTGGAACGAAAGGGTAAACCTGGGCATTTATTCTCCTCCCTGGGAAACCCTGGAAAGGGTCACCATATCTCAGAATTCACTTGATGGCACACAGTTATTATTTTCAGTTGTGGTGCTTTTCTCCACAGCTTAAATCAAAGGCACCCACTTTTCCAAGAGTTAAGGTGCTTTTGTTGCAGTATAAAACCAAAGGTGTGCAGATGTTTCTGTAGTGTAGTGGCTATCACGTTTGCCTCACATGCGAAAGGTCCCCGGTTCGAAACCAGGCAGAAACATTAACATTATTAGGGACGTGGTGGTGCTGTGGGCTAAACTGCAGAAGCCTGTGCTGCAGGGTCAGAAGACCAAGCAGTCGTAAGATCAAATCCACGCAACGGAGTGAGCTCCCGTCGCTTTGTCCCAGCTCCTCGCCAACCTAGCAGTTCGAAAGCATGTAAATATGAGTAGATAAATAGGTACCACCTCGGTGGGCAGGTAAAACGGCACTCCCTAGTCACGCTGGCCACGTGAAAACGGAAAGTGTCTTCGGACAAGCGCTGGCTCTACAGCTTGAAAAACGGGATGAGCGCCCCCCCCTAGAGTCGGACATGACTGGACTAACAAATGTCAAGGGGAACCTTTACCTTTAAAACCAAAGGTGCCCAATTTTCCAAGAGTTAAGGTGCTTTTGTTGCAGTTTAAAACCAAAGGCACTCAATTTCCAAGAGTTAAGGTGCTTTTGTCCACAGCTGAAACCAAAGTCGCCCAATTTCCAGAGATTTGCTTCGTTCCTTCGACCTTAATTCCAGTTGCCCCCCCCCGCCAAACTGTAGTCTCCCTTTCCTGAAATGTGAAATCATGTGAAATGCTGGTTGGCACCAGAACCTTGAGCCTAGATCTCTCTCACACACACTCCCAAATGGCCCCCTTTCTCTCTTCCTCCACAGCCCAGGGTCGTCATCATCCCCCCAAAAACGCATTCATCAAGCGAGGGGGATCCTACTCACGGAACCGAATGCGGATCGGCCATATCATGATGCAACAGAGGCACAGGGTGGCCACGGCGGCCACGCCGCCCGTCACCGCCACCATCACCCAGTGATAGAACGCCACACAGCTAGAGCAGCACAGCTGAGTCCTAACGGTGGGGAAAAAGAGGATCGGAAAGAGGATTCAGTCGCACGGCAAAGAAGAACTTTTTGGCAACGGGGGCTCGGGAATCCCCTTCCGGTTGGAGTGCCCGGCCCAGTTTTGGAGAAGCTTTCTGGAGACCACCCCATGAAAAGATTTTTTAACTATTTTAAATTTTCAGAAAATTATTAGGAAATGATCAAATTATGGGGTAACATAGAAGGGAGGTAGATCTGGAAAGGGCCAGATTCGAGTCCAGGAAAGTTAAAGATGAGGACTTACGGGCAAGGGTGTAGGTTCTGGATCACCATGACGGCCACCCCGTTCGCAAGTTTATCTGTGAAGCTCATGGCCCCGTAAACGAAGGCGCCGCTGTGCTGTGGGGAGACAACGGGAGACGCCCTTAGCTCAACAGAGGATGGCGTGTCGGAGCTGTGAAGTCTTCCTCTAGAAAGAGGGAGGGAGGGGGGAAGGAAGGAAGGAATAGATGGATGGATGGATGGATTGAAGGAAGGAAGGAAAATGACAGATAAAAGGAAGGAAGAAAGGAAAATGATGAATAAAAGGAAGAAAGGAAGAAGGAAAATGACAGATAGAAGGAAGGAAGGAAGGAAGGAAGGA